CTACAAATTTTACCAAAACCAAAAAAAAAAAAAAAACACAGTAAGGAAAGTAGTAATGTCGGACGGGGCCGACTATATGATACCCTTCACCACTTTGGGTATATTCAACAGATGGGATCCTAATAGACGTCGCATTTTTGAAGGATCATTAACATGAAATTAAACATGTCATTCTGCAAACTATACTAAATTTTGGTCAAATATAGAGTTGCTTCTTACAATGGGACAAAATTATGTAAATAAATTTAAAGCAACATATCGAAACCTAAACCGATTTCATCGAAACTTGTCACATGTTCGGCCACATTTTGAGTTCTTCATTTACATATAAATTAAATTTTCGTGCAAATGGAAGGATATATAGGGACTTTGGTGCACCATTTACACAAAAACTTACGAAAATATATATGAGAGCTATATCTAAATCTTAACCGATTTTCACGAAATTTAACACACATCGTTCTAGCCTTAATTCAGAATGATATGCCAAATTTTTTGGAAATCGAAGTATATATAGGGACTTTGGTGCACTATTTACCTAAAATCGAACGAAAATATATATATATATATATATATATATATATATATGGGAGCTATATCTAACTCTGAACCGATTTTCACGAAATTTTACACACATCTTTCTAGAATTTATTCAGTACGCTATGCCAAGTTTCTTGCAAATCGAAGGAGATACAGGGACTTTGGTGTACTATTTACCTAAAATCGGACAAAAATATATATGGGAGCTATATCTAAATCTGAACTGATTTTCACGAAATTAAACCTACATCGTTCTGGGCTTAATTCAGAATGCCATGCCAATGCCATGCCAATGCCATGCCAATGCCATGCCAATGCCATGCGACCTGCACTTTGTTAACAAAAGTAGACGGACAGACGGACATGCATAAATCGACTTAAAAAGTTATTATATGCATATTATTGTATTTAAAAAACCATTGGATGTCAAGTTCGATTCAAATAAATGGCCCTTTATGGGTGGTATATTAGAACGAGTGGACCAAGTTTGCGTAAAACACAGTAGCACATTTTCAACTTAAAAAACCTTAAACCAATCTGAAAACGTATGATAGAAGAAACTCTAGCTGGGTTTCGAATTATTAGCTAAGGATTTTCTTTTAATTGGGTTTTAAATTGTTCGACTGAAATTGGATTTTCAAATAAAGTAAATTTCAAACTTTACACATTGCTTCCAACATTTTACGTGCTAAAGTTTTCAACAGCAGAATGTATTGAAAATCCACACCTTTAGTAGAAGAAAACTAAGATTTGGTGGTCCTAGTTGGTTCCATATTTTCGTGATATCAGATGGCCAGAAATTTGTACTTCGACTCCAAATTATCTAATATAGATTTTGTCCAAAGAAACTTGTGGTCTACAACCAATTTTTCGTAGCACAGTTTTTTATATGGCGGCCAAATTCCGATCGGGATGTGACATAAATTTACTATCATACAATAATTGTCCATTGTTTGTAATAAATTAAACTGCAATCTCACTTTCATTGGTTGTGGCGTCTTAATGTCTGGATTTCCTTTTTCTTGCAAACTGTCATGACAACAAGTGAAAATCGTCGCATCATCCAAAACTCAATAACAGCAAAAACAAAATAATCAATAAATAAACGAACGAACAAACACACAAAAAAAGTGAAAATAAAATCCAGAAAATGGACCAAAATCGAAACCCGTTTAGATTTTGCGTACGCATTTAATAGCTCCATATACGAGATAAAATTAATCATTTTCCAAAGATAACCAATAAATGTTCTTCCATAGTTTTCGATTTTTTCTGATTGTTCTTTTCTCTCTCCTTTCCATTTTAGAACAAAATCCTATTGAGAAAGGCATTGAAGAACACAAAAAAATGTGTTAAAAAAACTTAGGCAATAAAAAATAGCAAACAACAAAAAATAAATGAATGAAATGGCCTTAAAAGTAAAAAACTTAAATGACAATCAATTTATAAATGAAACTAATTCAGAACAATACCATTATCGAACGAATAGAAAGTCTTTAAAGATAAAGCTGATGGCGATGACGAAAAGTGGCGCACAACGTTTGTCAAAATCCAAAGAAATGTTAAATCATCTATTATTGATGGCTGGCGATGGCCGTCGTTGTGCGAATGAAAATCAGCTCAGTGGGACAATAGACGAAAATGGTGGCAGCAATGCGACAAGAACATGCCTAAGCGGTTTAAGGTTGCTGGAATCGGAATATAGAGATGTTAACAACAATAAAAGTAATGGCCAACAACAGCAGCACTTAACACAGGAGCACGAGCCTACAACTACTACTCCTCCTACCCCTCAGTCCATTGATTCTTCCCATTGTCAACAACAACGACGACGAAGTCAACGACTAAGACCATCATCATTACTGCAACAATGTCACTACCAGCAACAACAACATCATCAAGAGCAACAACAAAAACGTTGGCTATTGTTTGGCTTACTATTTGTTGTTGCCTTATTTTCAGAACAAGCAGTGCCACTAGTCAAAGCGGATCAAAATATCGCAAACCCATCTGTCCTTAATGGCAATGCTCAGCCTGATGAAGATGGTGGTGCGTATGCGGCAACAACACCACTAACACCCGTGCCCACTACCGCATTACCCGCAACAGCAGATTCATTTTATGCGACGACGACGCCGACATCTTTACCTTCGATTATGGCCACAAATGAAACCACGTCTGACTGGTTAAGAAATGACACTTCCAGATATGCCAAAAGGAACTTCAAGTCTAAAGTCAATGCCGACGATTCGATATTTTTACGTTTCGCCAAACGTTTTACCCACGACAATAATCTGGTGTCCGGAATCATTCAAGAGTGCTATCAACGGCCAACGTTTGCCTGTTTCCAAAAGAATGTCTACGTTTATCTTAACGAGGTATTGGATGCGCAAGATGTGAACGTGACACAACGTTTAAAGTTCTATCGCAACGATAATGTCTACGAGGAGCAGGCGGAATTGGCGGATGAGGATATAGCTGAACCACCAACCCCACACACCACACAAGCATCGGCGGCCAAGGATTCCATGGAGGACGAGGATAATGAAATACCACGTGAAGGTCGTTCCTTTGATGACGGTAAGTCTGCCCCCACCATAACCAAAACCCTTTTTCATTCCCATTTTTCTCTTAATTATGATAGGCCGTCCATTTTTCCAAATAATTTGCGATTTAAGTTTTGTTTATTTACAAATAACCGTTATGCCCATCTCAGATAAATAAAACGAAACGAAAACTTTCACTAATCTCTCTTTCAATCTCCAGACATGTTGAAACGTTTACACGAAACGCTTACTCATCATATTTTGTCCATATGTCGGGATGGAATGTTTTTTCTTTGTATTATTTTTTTTATATTTGATTTCCAATCGTCGTTTTATTAAATGTTTGCATTGGGAATTTTTTATGGGCTAATGTAAAAATAGAAAGAAACCGCAAAAAAGATGATATTGAAAATCTAGGTGAATTGCACAAGGAAAACGATATTGTAAAGGTCAGGCAAGAGCAAATTGTGGTGGTGATGATGATGAGTGTTTCTTTCATACGTACATGCACAATTGATTAAATTCTCAACGCAAGACATTAAAATCGCATTTATTGGGATTTCATATAACAAGCGTGATAAGCGTTTTTGGTTAGACATCAAATGGTTATTACATTTTTTATTAAAAAAGTTATAAGGGCGGAATTTTAAATATAATTTGCACCGAAGAACAGGATAGCCTGAAGTAATATTAAACACACACTCACGATTAAGAATACGATTGGATACTGTATTTTGATCAGAGTCGATCCATTGGTGTCTAATAGAATTACAAATAAAGTTTTTGGTGTAGTTTAAGGGGACCCCCCTAAATTGTTTATACCATCCACCATATAATTGAGGCATATTTAATTTTGTCATTCCGTTTTTAACTCATCGAAATATCCATTTCCGACCCTATAAAGTATATATATTCTTGACCAGGGTAAAATTCTAAGATGATCTAGTCATGTCCGTCTGTTGAATTAACACTATCTTCTGAATGAATTGAGGTAGGATACTGAAATTTTGCATAAGGTTGACATTTGCCTGCAGGCAGGTCAAGTTCAAAGATGATATATATCAGTCCACGTTTAGGCGTTGCTCCCATATAAAGTTACCCCCCAATTTTCGGCATTTTGGTGTTCTTGAGCGCGTTTCAACCGAATTAGCTGATATTTGGTACATTGGTTCTTATTGGGTACTAAATTTCACCACAAGAAATAATAAATATATAGGTCCACTTTTTCTGGTAGACCCCATATAACGTAAAGTTCGATAATGAACTATATATGAAGTATAGCCCTCATTTAGGTCTAGCCCCCATATAATACCAACATATTTTCGGTATTTTTAGTATTTATCGTAAAGAAAATTATTCAAATGCAAAAATGTTAGTTTCGAAATTGTGCTATATTAGTCCTCAATTAGGTATAGGACCTCATATAATGATAACTACAAATGTTCGGTAATTTCTACACGATGTAATCAATATTGGTCTTCAGGGACGTACTCATACAGATTTTTTTCTGCAATACCAATTTTCATATTGAACCGATTTTCACGAAATTTAACACATAAATTATAGACCTAATTCATTACGCTATGCAAAATTTTGTACAAATCGAAAGAAATATAGGGACTTTAGTGCTTCATTTAAATAAAATCGGACGAAAATATATATGGGAGCTATATCTAAATCTGAACCGATTTTCAAGAAAATTAACACACATTGTTATGGACTTAATTCAGTACGCTACGTCAAATTTTGTGGAAATCAAAGGTATATAGGAACTTTGGTGAACCCTTTACTATAAATCGGACGAAAATATATATCGGAGCTATATATAAATCTGAACCGATATTCACGAAACTTAGCACACATCATTCTAGACTCAAGTCAGTACGATGTGCTAAATTTCGTGCAAATCGAAAGATATATAGGGACTTTGATGCACCATTTACAATAAATCGGACGAAACTATATATGGGAGGTATATCTATATCTGAACCGATTTCCTCCAATTTCAGTGGGTTTCGTCCTTGGGTCAAATAAATCAGCTGTGCGAAATTTCATCCAATTCGGACCATAAATGCGAGCTGTACTTTGTTTAAAATTTAACATGGACAGATAGACGGACATGCATAAATCGACTCAGAAAGTGATTCTATTGGTACATTTGGTTCTTATTGGCGCATTGGGTTTGTCTCCATATACTCGTATTCCACAATAGTAAGGGGGATATTCTGTATTTGAAAATATGAAATTCTATGACGATTTTCCCGATTTATCCATCTATTTAAATCATTCTACCTTCGAGATAAAAAACTAGAACGTCAGGTTTGAGAATGAACTACATCGACCCGCATTTAGACATAGCCCCCACTTTTAATATTTAGCGTGATTATTGTGATGCAAAAATTGTAGGTTCGAATTTGATCATATACCAAGCAGAGAATACACATGCCACTGATGGACGGATTATTTGGCGATACACTAAAAATTTAATCTTAATTGATGGCCTCCTTTCATTCTTAATAGGTTTTGGTAGCTATAATAAAGCCAATTAGCCTTGCACAAAGTTTGATCAACATGCCTACAGAAATCAAACTTACTATAAATTACCAAAATCAGCCAAATCAGCAAAAATACGAGACCAAACTTCCTCAAATACCAAATATTTATGAATGCCCTTATAGAGGGGTTATACCAAAGCATGGACCAATATATCCAGTTTTCAATACCAAACATCCTAGAAGTAATAGCACTATATGCGCAAAATTTCAAAGTTCTATTTTAAATATTGCGAGATCTATCGTGATTTCAACAGACAACAGTCAGACAGCTATGCATACATTGACATTGAATGTTATTCTGACCAAGAGAATTTTTATTTTAGTTTTGCTTGCAAAACATTCAGTGATCATCGCTCTTACGCACAAAATTCAAGTAAAAATAATTCCAACTGAGCACGGCTATGATTCGAACCTAGATTGACAGAGCAACACTAAAGTTGCCAGATCTGAACCATCGATACACATCGAAGGATGCACCAAAAACATGTGTACCCCATGGGAGCAATTTTAGGTGCGTGGATTAATTATCAGTACAGTTTCGAGAGTGAAGACAAATGTCGGACCTTGGTAGATTTGAATTTAATTGGTATCCTTTTCATTGAAAAACTTCGAACTTTTGAGGTGTTACAAACGAAATGACACATTTGATATAAAAGTAATAGAAAAGGGGGTTGGACATTTATATGTGGTCTATGTCAGAATATCGTTGGTTTGGTTGGACCGACAATATATTCACTAGCCCGTATATACGAACAAGTGAATATATGGACTTATATCGAAAAATTTCTGCTAAGAAGTTTTCTAAACTCCAAGAACCTAGAATGACAAATTACAGTTACATTGGATGAAAATTGCTTGCCTTGTATTGTTTATTATTTTCCTGGAGTTTCCTTCCTTTGGGAAAGCTAGGTACAAATTACAAACCAAAGCCGGACAGGGCCGACTATGATTGTGAAAAGATTTTTATAGTAACCTGTTGTAAAACCATCCAAGTTTAAAAAATGTCCTCTCCTGTTTTTATGCGTACTTTATCCAGTCGTTCGAACAGACGTATCATATTTTGGGGACCCTTCTATATTAAAAACCAGTGAGCGGAGCAGTATAGTCGGACGGGGCCGATCATACGATACCCTACACAACTACCACGGAACTCTAACCTTTGAGGAAGTTTATTCCGAGTCTGGGCAATAGTTCGTGCTATTTGTTCCCCCTTACCCGATTAGAGGTCAACAGCACTTCTTCCTTACACCGACATATTTTCCGAATATCAAAAAATTCAGTATAGCGTTTCTAATTACTTTTCCAGATTCCCTTCGAAGTAGGTTGTATTGTGATGTTCGGCTTTAAATTCTTGCTTATAGATCAAAACCATAAAAATTTAAGTTTTTGGTCCATTTCATCCCAAAATTTTTATCTGATCATCACCGAAAATGATAGGTGTTCTCCTTGATCATAACTGGAACCTCATGGAATATTTTAAAGCGATCAGGGCTATATTTCCGCCCTCTAGTGTGGTAATGGGTTACTAAATAATAGCTGAATACGTAAGCACCTGTAAATACTTAAGTGTAACTCCCGCACCCGAGTACCTACGAAAATATAATTGGTATCAATTTAAAGGTCAACCACTCCTCTTGGAAATACTATCCACTTCTTGGGTCTATGCCATTCACACAAAAGTTAGGGTCCATTTGAGCCGCTAAATATTGACCGATCTTTATCAAAACAGGCATGCTGCTTCTTTGGCCCGACCCCCTTCTCCATGCAAAAATTCGTGGTGTTTGGGCCATAATTGCGGCCTCTGGAGCGACCAGAAAAACCGACAAAAATAAAGTTTTTGGTCCATTTCATCCCCTGAATATTAACCGATCTTTTTCAAAAACAATAGGGGGCTTCATTGGCCAGAACCCATCCTACATGCAGAATTTCGTGAAGATTGGTCCATAACTGTGGCCTGTATCGTGCTTACAAATTATAATGGACAGACGGACGGACACACATGTCTAGATCGACTCAGCTAGTCGAGATATGACGATCGTATACTTAAAGGTGGGTCTAGGACCAATATTTCGCGGCGTTACAAACTTTTGGGGCTGCACAAAGCTATAATACCCTGACAACATAGTTGTATAGGGTATAATAATTTTATCGATCCATGCACATGTCACATGCAATCTATGCAAAATTCCAGGCCAATCGGGCAGATTTGTAGACTCTGGTGTACCATCTATTATAAAATCGGACAAAAATGTAAATGAATGAATGATTGTACATCGACAAATGTACACTGTGCAAAATTACATGCCATTTCACGTTGACTGATTAGCACCATCTGTCTCAAACTTACTACTTCGTTGAACAATTTTGGCAAAAGCCCTCATCCGTTTATATTTTAGAATAATACATGGCTGCATCGATCTAGAAATGTTTGCTTTGAGCTTTTAATACATTTCATGCATACTATGGTGGAGGAAAAAAT